CAACAGCCTTTCCCCTATGGTCAGGAACAAGACAAGGATGTCCACTCTCAACATTACTATTTAACATAGTCCTGGAAATCTTAGCTTTAGCAATCAGACAACAAAAAGAAATAAAAGGCATCCGAACTGGCAAGGAAGAAGTCAAATTTTCACTACTTGCGGACGACATGATACTCCTATGTAGAAAACCCGAACAGCTCCACCAAAAAATTTCTAGAACTAATATATGAACTTAGCAAAGTCGCAGGATATAAAATCAACATCCAGAAATCTGTTGCATTTCTGTACACCAAAAACAAAGCAGCAGAAAAAGAAATCAAGGAATTGATCCCATTTGCAACTTCACCAAAAATAGTAAGATACCTAGGAAAAAACCTAACTAAAGAGGTAAAAAATCTGTACTCTGAAAACTATAGAACACTTATGAAAGAAATTGAAGAGGACACAAAGAAATGGAAAAGCATTCCACGCTCGTGGATTGGAGAAGAAACATTGTTAAAATGTCTATACTACCCAAAGCAATCGACACATTTAATGCAATCCTTGTCAAAATACCACCAGCATTTTTCGAAGAGCTAGAACAAACAATCCTAAAATTTGTATGGAATCACAAAAGACCCCAAATAGCCAAAGCAAACCTTAAAAAAAATCTAGAGGCATCACAATTCTGGATTTCAAGCTGTATTATAAAGATAAGGTACTGTCACAAAAACAGACACATAGACCAATTGAATGGAATAGAAAACCCAGAAATGAACCCACGAATATATAGTCAACTAATCTTCAAAGTAGGAAAGAGTATCCAGTGGAAAAAAGACAGTCTCTTCAATAAACGGTGTTGGGAAAACTAGATGGCAACATGCAGAAGAATGAAACTGGACCGCTTTTTTACACCATACACAAAAATAATTCAAAATGGGTGAAAGACCTAAATATGAGATAGGAAACCATCAAAATACTGGAGGAGAACACAGGCAGAAACCTCTTTGACTTCAATCAGAGCAACTTCTTACCAGGCATGTCGCTGAAGGCAAAGTAAACAAAAGCAAAGATGAACTATTGGGACCTCATCAAAATAAAAAGCTTCTGCACAGCAAAGGAAACAATCAACAAAACTAAAAGGCAACCTACAGAATAAGAGAAGATATTTGTAATGACATATTTGATAAAGAGTTAGTATCCAAAATCTGTAAAGAATTTATCAAACTCAACACCCAAAAAAATAAATAGCCCAGTTAAAAAATGGGTAGAAGACATAAATAGACACTTTTCCAAAGAAGGCATACAGATGGCTAACTAATACATGAAAAGATGCTCCACATCACTCATCACCAGGGAAATAAACATCAAAACCACAATGAGATACCACCTCACAGCTGTCAGAATGGCTAAAATTAACAACACAAGAAACAACAGGTGTTGTTGAGGGTGCAGAGCAAAAGGAATCCTCTTGCACTGTTGGTGGGAATGCAAACTAGTGCAGCCACTCTGGAGAACAGTATAGAGGTTCCTCAAGAAACTAAAAATAGAACTACCCTACAATCCAGCAATTGCACTATTAGGTATTAACCCAAAAGATACAAAAATACAGATTTGAAGGGGTACATGCAACACAATGTTTATAGCAGCATTATCAACAATAGCCAAACTATGGAGAGAGCCCAAATGTCCAGACTGATGAGTGGACAAGAAGATATGTATATATGTACAAATATGTAATTCAGCCATCAAAAAGAATGAAATCTTGCCATTTGCAATGATGTGGATAGAGCTAGAATATATTATGCTGAGCAAAATAAGTCAATCAGAGAAAGACAAATACCATATGATTTCTTTCACTCATGCGTGGAATTTAAGAAACAAAACAGATGAACATATGGGAAGGAGGGGGAAGAGAAGAGAGGGAAACAAACTACAAGAGAATCTTAATGATAAAGAACAAACTGGGTTGATGGAGGGAGGAGGATGGGAGATGGGCTAGGCGGGTTGATGGGTACTAAGGAGAACACTTGTTGTGATGAGCACTGGGTGCTGTATGTAAGTGATGAATCAATGAATTATATTCCTGAAACCAATATTGCACTGTATGTTAACTACCTAAAATTTAAATTAAAATAAAATAAACACAGGGACGATAAAAAATAATGGTATTACTTAATGGAATTAAAAAACAATCATTATATATGCATGTTTATAATATATTATTTTTTTATTTTTTACTTTTTGTTTTATTGGAAATATTATATGCACAAAGTCCAATAAAGATAAAACTTTTTTGTCAAAAAATTATGTGATAGTGGCAATGAACAGGATATTTTACTTTAAATTTTTTTGAATGTTATACAATTATTCTAGCAATGGGTTCAAATTGAAAAACCATTTGAAGAAAAATAGAGACAGAATCATTGAACAAAAGTGACAAAAGTATTTATATAGAATACCTATAATTTGACCTATTAATTCACAGACAAAAGATCTGAAAATATAGGCTCCAACTATTAATGTTTACCAGCATTTGAAGCTTACGTTTTTTATTCTACACAGTTCTTAACATTGTGTATTTCTTTACAAAGAAGTTTTACACCTCAAAAAATCATTTTAAATGTTTTAAGGATCAAAAAGATAAACATAAGCAAAAAATTTAATCTTCAAATTTTGGAGAATCTTGTGCCCATATTAAAGGCTCAAAATTCAGGAAAAAAATAGTAGCTTTGAAGAGAGTAATGGACATCCCAATAATTACAGACTGGAATCTCTGACTAAAGTCTTAGATATCTAGTAGCCTCAACCTCTCCTCTGAATTTCTGATGCTCGGTAATAACTCCAGAGGATAAACACATCACTAAGGAATATAAATTTAACCAAGAGTGTAACTAGAAATATGTTTCTATTGTGTCCAAAAGAAATTAAATTGCTATATAATAAGTATAATAAATAATACTTTTACCTTTTTGATATAGATCATACTTATAAATACTACCCAATTTGACTTGTAATCATGAATCTACATTTATAAACAATGGATACACTCAGATTTTGAATATATAAAACTATAAATTATTATAATAATAAAAAAGAAGAAGAAAAGTAGGCAATGTGACCAGGGAGACAGAGCGGTGTGGCCAAAAGCCAAGGAATGCCGATAGCCATGAGGAGATATCAGAGATAACACATTTTCCTTTCAAGCTCCAGAGGGTACAGCCCTGCCAAAACTTTAATTTTGGACTTCTGGTTCCCAGAGTGGAGAGAAAGTAATTTTTTGTTGTCTTAAGCCAGCCAGTTTTTGGTAATTTGCTACAGCAACCCCAGGAACTAACACACCTATTCACCTAAATTCTTTACTTGGACACATTGATTTCATTTTGTTATGTATATCTTCTGATTTAATTCTTTCATAGGTTGTTCTCTAAGGGAATTACTCCCAAATCTACTTTTATCATCTCTCCTGAGTTCCAGATCAAAATGACATTTCCAATCATAATGGCATGCTCCAAGAACCACAGAAGTAATATTTTCTTAAATGTTTCTCTCCATTTGGTAGCTGGACAACCATACACAAACTGTTTCTCCTACTGTACCCTGCATCTCAGTTACTGGCAATCTCATCCTCCTAAGTGACCAAACTAAAAACATTAGTGTCGTCCTCTACTTTTGTCTTTCTTTTATGATTTGTAATGAATCGGTCATTATTAGGTTGCCTCTACTTTGCCAATGCCTCTTGTACATGTTTCTTTCAATCCATTTTGACTGTCATGATTTGTCTCCATTACCTGATATCTAGAGTACAATAAAAAAATTCTTTACTCGTTTTCCTACCTTCAGAATCTCCCCTGCTCCATCCTTCAAGTACACATTCACTAGAGCAAACTCTGCTCATTTATTCATATTTATCTCTCCAAAGGGAACACTTTCCAGTTGAAAAGTTATCTATCTTGGGGTGCCTGGGTAGCTCAGTCAGTTAAGCGTCCAACTTCAGCTCAGGTCATGATCTCACGGCTTGTGGGTTTGAGCCCTGCATCCGGCTCTGTGCTGACAGCTCAGAGCCTGGAGCCTGCTCCGGATTGTGTGTGTGTGTCTCTCTCTCTCTCTGCCCCTCCCCCACTCATGCTCTGTCTCTCTCTCTCAAAAATAAATGAAAACTTAAAAAAATTTTTTTTAAAGAAAAGTTATCTTTCAAGGAACTCTTTAATAAAGAGTATACCTACACTTCTACAATGAAGGGAACCACCTAGGTGGTGTATTTCAATACCATATATGATTAAAATTATTGATGGAATGATGCTATATTTCATGTTCTAACTAAAGATATGTGAGATAGTAGTAGGCAAAGGCAGGAAAGTTTAAGGCCTTCACTACCAGGCTGAATGACTTAAGTTTTTATTCTCTAGTCAGAGAAACCTCTGCATATTTTTGCGGTAAAAAAATTACAAGATGTAAAATACACTTTAAAAGATTCAATTGAGGGGTGCCCCGGGACGGCTCGGTAGGCTAAACCGACTCTTGATTTCCACTCAGGTCATGACCCCAGGGTTTGTGAGATACAGCCCCACTTCGGGTTCTGTGCTGACAGCGTGGAGCCTGCTTAAGATTCTGTCTCTCCTCTCTGCCCCTTCCCTGCTTGGTCTCTCTCTCTCTCTCTCAAAATAAATGAATGTAAAAGAAAAGTAGCCTGGGCATGATGCGGTTAAGCGCGTCGACTTCAACCGAGTCGCGATCTTGTCCCGGTCCGAGGAGTTGCCGAGCCCGCGCCAAATGGGCTGATGGCTCGGAAGGAGCCTGGAGCCTGTTCGATTCTGTGTCTCCCTCTCTCTCTGCCCCTCCCCCGTTCATGCTCTGTCTCTCTCTGTCCCAAAAATAAATACACGTTGAAAAAAAAAAATTTAAAAAAAAATAAAAAAAAAAGAAAAGATAACACAAAGAAAAAAAGAAAAGGTGTTGCCTGCGCTAACAAAAAGTTATTAAAGAAAACAAATATGCTTAAATAATATCAATGACTTACTTCACTGGAAGAATTTAAACAATCTTCTCCCATTTGGCGGAAGGCTGGGCTGAAGGCCATGGTCAGTCTTGAGGCGGACCCTCCCCAGAACGCACACCCTCTGCCGCCTCTGCTGCGGGTACGACCAGCTCCCCACGCGCTGGAACACCAGCGTGGGCTTCCCCGCAACCCGCACGCGCCCACTCATGAAGCGCCGAAGAGAACACCATAGCGCCACGTGCAGCAGCAGCGTGAGCGCCAGCGCAGGCTGGACACCAGCGCGCATGAATGGCGATGATCAGGTACGTTGACATCCACCAGCGCGATCTCCGGCGCCAGCGCCCGCCAACACCTGGGGGGCCTTGAGCGCCTGGCGGCTCTCCACCAGCGGTAACTGCACACGATTGGCGTGGCCGTCAGCGCCGACTCATGCGATGGTCCTCCTGCCAGCACCAGCAGGCGGCTGGCAGCGGCAGATCCGCCTAGAATCCAGGCTCGCGGCGTCGTGCTGATGATCTAAGCCGGTGTGCAACGCCAGCCGGAACGGGCTGTACGCGCCACCCTGCGCCGGCTGCGGCTTCGATGCTGACAGCCAGCCACGCGGCAAGCGAGTCGCGTCACCGCGCGCACCTTCACCAATGCGCGCCCTCGACATCACACCAGGCTCGCTCGCGGGCGCCGCATGCGCTTTCCGCCGCCCTGGCGTGGCGGCAACAGCGCGGGCGCGTTAATGGATTCTCGTCCAGCACAGACACCTGCAGCGTCACGTTGCTGCCCAGAAGCGGGAACGCGACCGGCGTCGCGCGTATAAACTCGCCCAGATTTCTGGCAGCTCAGCTCCTGGAAGTAGTCCGAAAACACCGGCTGCCTGCTGCCGGCTCTCGACTGCGACACGTAGCCAGCGCGCACGCGCTTCGCTTCCTGCCGCTCCACCAGCGAGTAGGACACCGGCGCGTTCTCCTGCGGCGTCCGTCCCATGCGGGACACCCGATGAAGATGTGGCAGCCGGGAGGGTTGTTCTCCTTCACGAACACCGTGTACTCAGCCTGCGCGAATGTCGGCGCGTTGTCGTTCACGTCGGCCACTTCCACGGACAGGTGGCCGTGGCGACGAGCGGCCCGATCCCATGCGATTCACCAGCGGCTCGTTCGCCGCGCTCGCGGTCCAGGGCGCTGTCCAGCACCAGCGAATAGTAATTCTTGAAGGTGGACACCAGCTTGAAAGGGACATGGGGTGTTAGTGAGCAGGTCACCTGCCCGTTGGCGCCAGAGTCACGGTCGGACACGCTGATCAAGGCGATGACAGTGCCCACCTGAACATCCTCTCTCACCGGGGGAGACAACGAAGTAATCATTACCTCAGGGGTATTGTCATTCAGGTCCAGAACTTCCACTAGGACTGTGCAGTGACCTGCCATGGAAGGAATCCCTTTATCAATGGCGTTAACCTGAATTTCATACTCATTATTCTCTTCAAAATCCAATTTCCCATAAATTCTGATTTCACCTGTTTCTGCATTTATTGAAAACATGCATTTCTCACTCACTGGCAAAATCAGTCTGATTGCATAGGAAATTTCTCTATTGACCCCTTCGTCTAGATCAGAAGCATTTAATTGAATCACTCTCGTGCCGTTTGGGACATTTTCAAACAACACTACTCTATAGCCAGGCTTATCAAACTCCGGAGCGTTGTCATTCACATCCAGGATGCTTATTTTAATCTGAACAGATCCTGTTAGCTCGGGTTTACCGCCATCCTGGGAGGTCAGCAATATATTAAGTTCTGGCGTTTCCTCTCTATCCAATGACTTCCGTAGAACTAGTTCAGGCAATATACTTTTATCGTTTTTCGTTATTAATTTAAGAGTAAAATACTCATTTATACCTAACCTATAGGTCAGAAGAGAGTTTACGCCGATGTCCGCATCGGAAGCGCCCTCTAGAGGAAAATGAGAATCCAGAGGTGCAGATTCAGAGATAAGTACCTTTTGTTCTACTTCTCTGAACACCGGCGGGTTATCATTAATGTCTTTCACCTCCACCTCCACATGGAAAACCTGCAGCGGCCTGTCCACGATCACCTCCAGGTGGATGCTACACTCGGTACTCCTCCCACAGAGCTCCTCTCGGTCGATCCGAGAATTCACAAACAAAATGCCATTCTGCAGATTTACCTCCAGAAGGTCTCGGCGGCCTTTGGATGCCACACGGAAAAAGCGCGGTACGAGCTCCGCTAGTTCCAGTCCCAGGTCTTGCGCGATGCGGCCCACGAAAGTGCCGTGTTTGGCCTCCTCCGGGACCGAGTAGTGGACCTGGCCGCTCCCAGATTTCCCAGCTGCAAGGAGCAGAAGCGCCAGGAGCAATCGCCGGGCTCCTGGGCCTCCTCTCCAGGAAAACACCATTGTAGTTAACGAGATCTCTGAGATGGGACTGTTAGTTTTAAGGGACTGCTCGCCTGGGAACCTTTGTGAGCAGTCTTTCTTTCCGTAGGTATATGTTTGATAAAATTTACCCAGCGTTCCGGTCAATATGGAGTCGATCCTATTCTGCCAGTTGTTGGAAGCTGAACGCGAGACAAAGTTTTCCTTTTCCACCTTCTGAGTGTACAGCGACATCATGTGACTGATTATGTAAGTACAAGAAAGATCCTGAGGTTCTTTTTGGTTTAGCCACTTCCCGGGACACTTTAAGTTTTTTGACTTTTGGATATGTTCATGGATCGTTTGTAAATGACTATTTATTTAATGTATATGATATAAGTAACAAAGCACAATCATTTCCATTATTCTTCAGATTATTAAATATTCTGCTTCAAAGTCTATCATAAAATAGCCATAAAAAGCTACTCTTTGCCTATCATGGAGAACAAAACAAAGAATAATATACATCACCTTCGACTTTACTTTGCTTACAATTCCCACTTGTAGTGCATTTTCTCCTTCACAAGCACTTAATTGTAGGACTTTAGGGAAAACTCAAGAATCCCTCATTTAGTAAAGAAAAAGAAACTAAGATATGTCTATTAACTGAATATTTCATATAAATTATTTTATTCATACTTCTGGTAAATATGAGAATTCAACATAAATATGAAGCATGTCATTGTTTTGGCTCCTTGATACTCAAATGTGATGACTTTTCATACAACTGCTCTCATTCCCATAACATGTTAAAATGAGGTTTGGGTACAGATCCAGTGAAGTTTTATTCTAGCAGGAGGAAAGCATTTTCCTGTAAAATGTTGAATCAAAGCCTCCAAATTTCACAACTGTCTAAAGTAGAAGTGGAGGCCTAATATGAAAAGAACTGGTGAGATGTTTTGGAGCCCAGTCTCAATAACTAAAATCAAAAGAATATCAACTTTACAATGAACTTCTGGTTTCCCTTTAAAAATTTTCCCATCAGGCCAGTTAGTAGTCACTCAAAATATGCTTCTCTTCAGAAAGTCAGAATGGTGACTACGATTGCAAGGGAGAAAGAAAGGACTTTTCATAATCTGATTAATTAAATCAAGAGCACCTTTAAAGGAAAACACAACACAGATAAGATCCTACAGCTAGTTGTGAGCAATTAAATACAGAGTGTATAAGCTCATTAAAATTCAAGTCAAAATCTTTAAAGTCAATGATCGGTCACCATTCCTTCTACATATAATAACAAAAGGAACTGAGATAAGAAATATTTATTGAACCAGAAAAAAATAATCAATAATGGTTCTACAAGTATAAGATACCTTAAATCAACTATAAAACTGGCTCTTAATTAACCAAAAAAAAATTTTTGATGCTATTGGACTATTTAAATTGTCTAATATCACTACCATACTTCTTCATTTTCTATCTCTCATTTTCAAAAATAGTCAATGTACAATGATTGCTAAGAAACTTTACTGAAAAAGTAGTGTGTTATGTAGTCCTTACACACCATTAGACATAATTAAATTACTAAAAAGATAGGAACATATAAAATTAGCTTAATACTTAAACAACTAAACTAGAAAATGGTTGAAATTATAATTTTATACCACTGAATGTAATCTTGAAATTAAGAATAAGTATAAAAGACACAAAACTTGTAGAAAATAGTCCATGTAATTTGGAATTATCTAAAAATGTGCATCAACTACTTTTGTACTATAAAAGTAATAATTTACAAAAATTTAACATATACTTAAATCATTCTAATGTCTTTGTTTCTTAAATTTAAATGACCTTGAGTCATTCTAAGAACTTCATTTGGAGATGGATAATAATGTGTGCCCTACATTCACATTTATTATATTTACAAAGTTGCATAAATGATACAATGGCTTAATCTTTTAAGTCTGAGACATTTTATATTTTATTTTAATTACCTACTATAAAATAAAGAAATTTTAACCTATAATTTTATTTTTTTTTAATTTTTTTTCAACATTTTTATTTATTTTTGGGACAGACAGAGACAGAGCATGAACGGGGGAGGGGCAGAGAGAGAGGGAGACACAGAATCGGAAACAGGCTCCAGGCTCCGAGCCATCAGCCCAGAGCCTGACGCGGGGCTTGAACTCACGGACCGCGAGATCGTGACCTGGCTGAAGTCGGACGCTTAACCGACTGCGCCACCCAGGTGCCCCTAACCTATAATTTTAAAGGGAGAATAGCCACATATGAATTTCATTAAATTCTCAAAGAGATCAGCAATTGTGCCACCCTGCATATAGCTAAGGATCACTGAATTAGAGGAATGACCTAGAGGTAAACAACCTTTGATAGAATTATCAGATGTGATTATACCACATAGAAAGAAAATTTTACAAGCACTAGAGAAAGCATTTAAAGACAGGACATTTAAAATGTGAGAGGAGTCAAAATGGTAATTTTCATTTCACTTTAATAGACTTAACATTTTCCTTTCTATATGAATTCACAAAGCTTAGGAAAGACTGCCAACTAGCATATATTGCAGATATTATAGCGCTATGTGTATGTCTCCAGCAAGTTTGAAGACTTGGTTGAGTAATATGAATAACTTTATTTGCCTAGTAAACTTTGCAAGCATAAATATGGGAGTTCTGTTTGAGTGTGTTGTAGATAAATCTGTGCCCATTACAGGTTTAAAAAAAAATCAACAGGGGTGCCTGTGTGGCTCAGTGGGTTAAGCAGAAGACTTCAGCTCAGGTCATGATCTTGCATTCCTCGAGCCCTGTGTGGGGCTCTTGTGCTGACAGCTCAGAGTCTGGAGCCTGCTTTGGATTCTGTGTCTCCGTGTCTCTCTGCCTCTACCCCTTCACACTCTGTCTCTCAAAATAATAATAATAATAATAGTAAATAAACATTAAAAACTTAAAAAAATAAATCAACAGAACCTTTAATTACACTATTTCAATGAAAACAGCATACAAAAATGCAAGACTAATTTTTAACTGCAAATAATATGAGAACAGGTTTTAACTTATCAGTTGAGGCAAAACTAAAGATTATTTAATGGACAATAAATGTATGATCTATGTTTAATGCCACAGAAAAAGAAAGGTAAATCTTTTCAGACTTAATGTTCAATCTTTGACACAAGGCTGAACTGAGAAAACTCAAGCAACTTAATAATGTGAAAATATAAAAGTAAAAGGCTGTGTTAAAAGACAAAGAGGATGAGTAAACTGAAATGATCCATAGTGATTATCTACATTAGTGAGGATTAGAGATGAAATGAAGTGGTCTAGGTAGGTCATTGAAAATTAGAAATTGTTGGCACAAAAACAGACACTCAGATCAATGGAACAGAATAGAGAACCCAGAAATGGACCCACAAAAGTATGGCCAACTAATCTCTGACAAAGCAGGAAAGAATAGCTAATGGAATAAAGACAGTCTCTTCAGCAAGTGGTGCTGGGAAAACTGAATAGTGACACGGAGAAAAATAAATCTGGACCACTTTCTTACACCATACACAAAAAATAAACTCAAAATGGATGAAAGACTTAAATGTAAGACAGAAAGCCATCAAAATCTTCGAGAAAAAAGCAGGCAAAAACCTCTTTGACCTTGGCCACAGCAACTTCTTACTCAGCATGTCTCCAGAGGCAAGGGAAACAAAAACAAAAATGAACCATTAGGACCTCATCAAAATAAAAAGCTTCTGCACAGTGAAGGAAACAATCAGCAAAACTAAAAGGCAATCGATAGAATGGGAGAAAATATTTGCAAACAACATATCAGATAAAGGGTTAGTAACCAAAATCTATAAAGAATTTATCAAACTCAACATCCAAAAAACAAATAATCCAGTGAAGAAATGGGCAAAAGACATGAACAGACACTTCTCCAAAGAAGACATCCAGATGGCCAACTGACACGTGAAAAAATGCTCAACATCACTCATCATCAGAGAAATACAAATCAAAACCACAATGAGATACCACCTCACACCTGTCAGAATGGTTAACATTAACAACTCAGGCAACAACAGATGTTGGCGAAGATGCAGAAAAAGAGGATCTCTTTCGCACTGCTGGTGGGAATGCA